AAAAGAGGTAAAGGACCTATACAAAGAAAACTATAAAACACTGTTAAAAGAAATAGAAGAAGACACAAAGAAATGGAAAGACATCCCCTGCTCATGGATTGGAAGAATAAACATTATTAAAATGGCCATCCTACCAAAAGCAATATACAGATTCAATGCTATTCCAATCAAAATCTCAATGGCATTCTTCAAAGAAATAGAACAATTATTGATGAAATTCATATGGAATCACCAAAAACCCCGAATAGCCAAAGCTCTACTGAAAAAAAAAGAAGGAAATGGAGGCATCACACTCCCAGACTTCAAACTATACTACAAAGCCATAATCATCAAAACTGCATGGTATTGGAACAAGAACAGACATACAGACCAATGGAATTGAATAGAAAATCCAGAAATAAACCCACAGATTTATGGTCAACTAATCTTTGACAAAGGAGCAAAGACTATGCATTGGAGCAAAGAAAGTTTGTTCAATAAATGGTGCTGGGAAAACTGGGTCGCTACATGCAAAAGAATGAAGCTTGACCACTACCTCACACCATACACAAAAATCAACTCAAAATGGATTAAAGAACTAGACATAAGACCTGAAACCATAAAATACATAGAAGGAAATATAGGCGAAACACTACGGGATTTGCACATCAAAGACATCTTTACAGACACATCACCCAAAGCAGTGATAGTGAAGAGAAAGATAAACAGCTGGGACTACATCAAATTAAAGAGCTTCTGCACAGCAAAAGAGACAATAACAAAAACAAAGAGAAACCCCACCAACTGGGAGAACATTTTTGCACCCAACACTAATGATAAAGGACTGATCACAAAAATCTGCAAAGAGCTGATGAGACTCAGCAACAACAAAGAAAATAATCCAGTCAAAAAATGGGCAGAAGAGCTAAAAAGAAACTTCTCTGAAGAGGAAATGCAAATGGCCAACAGACATATGAAAAAATGTTCAACATCACTTGTAATCAGGGAAATGCAAATCAAAACTACCATGAGATACCATCTCACACCAGTGAGAATGGCACATATTAAAAAAACTAGCAACAACAAATGTTGGCGAGGATGTGGAGAAAAAGGAACTCTTGTGCACTGTTGGTGGGAGTGCAAACTGGTCCAACCACTATGGAGAGCTGTGTGGAGATTTCTGGACCTACTAAACATAGAGCTTCCATATGATCCAGCAATTCCACTCCTAGGTATTTATCCAAAGGACACAGAAACATCAATTCCAAAGAGCACCTGCACTCCTATGTTTATAGCAGCACTGTTTACAATAGCTAAGCTTTGGAAACAACCCAAATGCCCAAAAATAGATGACTGGATCAAGAAGATGTGGTACATATATACCATGGAATATTACTCAGCATTCAAAAAAGATAAACACATGCAATTTGCAGCAACATGGATGGCACTGGAAGGGATCATGCTCAGCGAAATAAGCCAAAAAGAAAAAGAAAAATACCGGATGGTCTCACTCATAGCAGGAATCTAGAAAACTTAAATAAGGGACCAGGAAAATGAATATAAGAAAGTGAAAATCAAAATCAACAAAAAAACTATGAACCAGAGACACTTTTTGGGGGGTGGGGGGCGTTAGGGGAAGGATTGGGGTCAGAATGGGGCGTTTGCAATTGTATGGGGGAATATAAAAATAAAATTTAATATTTAAAAAAAAAAAAAAAAAAAAAGCATGCAAAAAAAAAAAAAAAAAAAAAAAAAGAATGCCTAACAATGTAGCAGAGCTAGTTCCATGCTCTTGAAGGTTTCCTTTTATTATCATAATTCATTTTGTGATCAAGAAATCTATTCAGGGATAAATTCTTCAACAATTAACTTTACTAGGTCCTACCTATTAGAATCACAACAAAACTTCATTATTTTAGTTATTAGTGCTAATAGCTATGTTTGAATTCAGAGTTAGATTTCTTGAAATTGGATGACGAGTTGCTAATAATACTGTTTTCGTACTTTTCTGTTGCTGTGGGAGAACAGAATAAATAGCAAAGTCAGGGAACAGGAGATGGAGTGACAAATATGGGTTTGTTCTAAGCCTGTAAACAAGATCTAAGAAGAAACTTTATTTCTGAAGTTTCTAGATAAAAATTCCTATCTATCCCAAGTATCATAGAATGAATTTTAGTTTTGATAAATCAGGCTCATTCAGTTCAAGAAGAGGATGATATTCTGGTCTAACACCCTCAAGGTGATACTATTATACTGATGAGAAGATTACAACTATGTAGAAAACAAACAAGAGTCTTATGCATGAATTAAAACAACAAGATAAATAACAAACTGAAAATAGCCAGTGTTGGGGAGACTGAAGAAAAAAGAACATTTTTGTCTTTCTGGAGGACAATTTGGTAATACATAGCAAAATTTTAAATAAGAACATTTTACTCAGTAAATCTACTTCTGTGACTTTTTTCCTTAAGGATATAAGCATATAAAAGTATAAAGATATATGTACAAGATTATTTATTATAATGTTGTTTACTTTAGCAAACAACATTTCCAAAAGCAAAGTGTTGAGAACAAAAATTCTGAGTGCCCATCAGTTGAAACTGGTTTCAGAAATCAGGGTACATTTGAAAGAATACTCTGAAAATAATGTCTCTCTCTAAATTTAATTACATGGAAAGATTGCCATATTGTTGAATTTAAAACATTCTAACACAGAAATATATAGTGCTTAGAAGTGAAAATTGAGAGAAAGCGAGCGTGCACATGAGTGATCTAAGGATATTTCCTGAAATGTTAATAGCAGATATGCCTGACATGTAAAATTTCAGGTAATTTATATTTTCTCCTTTACACTTTTCTGTATTGCCTTAATTTTTACAATAATATTTTGTTTTCACTTGGGAAAACGAAACACAACAATAACATTATGTGAAGAATAAGGCTGATGAAAATATCCACATGTTAACTGTAGTTGTCTTTAGTCTTTAAAAGTAGAGGCCAATGTTCTTTTCTACATTGCTCCATTTTCCAAATTGTCTTTTACTGAGCATAATTACTTTTAAAATGAGGAAATAATCATAAGCAGTGATGATTGGGAAGGACTAGATCTAGGGACTGGCCATGGAGAGGAATCTTTCTCATGGATCCTGCAACAAACTTGCTTTGATCTTATAAAAAAGTTTTTATAAGGAAGCCCACAGGAAGCCCACAACCTTTCTACCTGGTTCCTGGGAAAGACTCCTCTGTGGTTCAATGGCCAAGTGATGACTTAGCTGGTCACTCACAATGGCGGTACTTTCCCTTTTGCCTTAGATCTCAAGGGAAGGGTCCTACCCACTGACACTTCCATATCAGCTGGCATGTGATGGCTTCTCTAGTTTCAGCATTCATCCTTGGGTTGTATGTTCTGGACTAATTTTTTTTTAGGATTTATTTTATTTATGCATACAAGAACAGAGGTGCGGAGGGTGAGAGGATTCACCAAAAACAGAGTGGGGAGCAGAACAAGCAGATTGACTGAAATACACTGCTGAAGGGAGCAGCAGGCGAGACAGGAGAGGTCTGCCGCACCATGTGGGTAATTCCCTGGCTGGGAATCAAACTCATGCTGCAGTGGCTGCTGATAGTTTCATAGTGCTGAGATTTAACCCCGTGTGCCACCAAGGAGGCCCACTAATTTTTTTAAATTAAAAATTAATGTATTTTCAGTGGTTAAGTTTTGAAAGCTAAAATATAAAGAAGCAGGGAAAATTATACTTCCATCATTGAAATAAATGTTAATCCTTTGACATCTTTTTAATCTTAATTTCTTAATATACATTTCCTAATTTCTTAATAATACAATTTTGAATTCCTTAATATACTATTGCATATCTTTTTTTTTGATTATCATTTCTAGTGTTTTCCTATATCATTGAAAACTCTTAAATATATGTTTAATGGCCCAAGCCCAATTTTTTAGATGTATCATTTATTCCTGTATGATTTCAAATTGAAAAACTTTTTTATAAGATCAAAGCAAGTTTGTTGCAGGATCCATGAGAAAGATTCCTCTCCATGGCCAGTCCCTAGATCTAGTCCTTCCCAATAATCGCAGCTCTTCCCAATCAAGCACCCCTTCTGACCACCCTACTCCAGCACTCTCTTGTCCTCACAAGTATTAAAAAATCCACTGACTTACATTTTTGCTCTTAATAATCTGCCTTATGCCCTCATTTTCTTCCTTAACTAGACAAAATTCTGCCGTCAATTATTTCAGTCACTCTCTTGCACACAACTCACCCACTCAATCTACTTGTACTAGTTGAATCTCAACTTCAGTTAAACCCAACTCTGCCATCTCTGCACCTCCACCTGCAGCCAGATGTTCAAGTCCTACTTTTTAATGCTGTCTCTGCAGACATCCTTGATGCATTTATTCCCCTTTTTACTTTTCCTATGACTGCCCTGTGTGGTGTTCATATAGCTGCTACTTAGGAGTCTGCCCATCCATCCTCCACTAGCACAACTCATTGGCCAATCCTGTACTCCCTTGAGGCAGCTTCTCTTAGATTCTTTTCTCAACTATCTGACCTCTCTCTTGACTTTCTTTTGTTCTCTCTCCATTCCCACCCACTCCCCTCTTTCCCCAGCTCCCCAAAGAAACAGAAGGAATAGTATGATGAAAATGAACTAGCACAGTGGGTGTAGCATCTAGAGGCTCAGATTCCTGTCCTGCTGTGTGACCTTGGGTCAGTCGCTTCACTTCTCTGGTTCTTAGTTTCTTCCCTATACAACATTTGGTTAAATAAACATGGAGATAATTTAACCCAGCTCTTAAAACAAACATGGTTCTGAAAACTTAAGAAAGGAAAACTTTAACAGTCCCACTACCCTACTTTCCTCACCATACCATCCTACTTCCATCACCAAGCTAAGATAATGTCGACCATCTGGAGAATATTGTTATTTTTGTGCTGAAACTGTCCTTGGCCCATCCATGAGTCCCACTGGGTAGCCATAATGGAAATCCAAACACTCACCGTGAATTTCTCATAGAGCTCATAAGTCAGGAGGGGGTTGGGCAGCTCCCTAAAGTATAACTTGCAGAGTGAGCCCACACAGTGGATGTCCTGGAGGTACACTTCTCTTGTCAGATCTGGACATTGATCTGAGCCAAACTCTTGCCTGAAACAACACAGACAGAGACATAACAATCCCAGGGAGCATGTGTTCCATGTCAGCAGCTGCTTGGCTGCTTAGGGATAAAAAGACCCTAAACTGCTGATCTGACTATATTTTTGACTTTTATTCGAAAAGACCTACTGCAGGCCCAGAGAAGCTATGAGAAAACTTCCACTCCAGGTCTGGATCTTCCCTATAAAAGCTGCTGGGATTAGAAAGACATAATGCCCATTTACAAATAGATTTCTCATGGCATTATGTCCACAGTCTCCATTATGAACAGTGGGGAAATATGAAAGCAATTTGGGAAAACAGCCTGTTGAGAATTCAGTTTTTCCAAAATATTGTTCTAAATGAGCTGCTCTTTCTTGGAGGAAAGACCAAAACCAGGGTGAGTCAGATTGTTATCATTCATCTCCATATATTCTTGTCAACAAACTTGTTTTATCTGGAGGACCAAATTCACGGTTTGAGAACTTTAACCACATATCTCTTTGATGCTGAATGGAACCTTTTAGGCTGCCTAGTAGTGATTCCAACAGGATAGATGAGTTATAACTATCTTCTTACACAATCTGTAGAGGGTTGTCTGGGAACACCATCTGATTTCAAGTCTCATATCTAATTTAAAAATATTTCTTAACAAGGTTACATGAATATATAACCTCAGTAATGTGTACTTACAAGTATAAAAATCTGTTTTTTTAAATGCTGTATTTGCATTTTAATATAGAAGAGAAGTTAGACTCCTTCAAGGTATTTACTTGGTCAGCAAAAGCAGTGACAAAGTCCATGGGAATCTCAGAACCAGTATTTTAAAACAGCTGGCTGCCCACTCACTTAGAATCTGGTTCTGCCTCTTTAAATAAAGGGCAAGGAAGTCCCCCATGCTTCCAGAGCCTGAAAGAAACTGAATGGGGCTTTGAAAAGAAAACCATGCCATGGTCACATAAATTCATTGGTGTGTGTTTTTTTAAGAGGGCAAAGCAAGAACAATCTATAGCTTACTCATTTATTTAGCTAAAATTTTCTCTTGTCAAGGCTATGATTGATCCTGAAATGAAAAAGAGTTAGCCATAACCCAAGTGTCATTCCACCGTACCAGCTACTGTGCAGTATATTTCAGAGCTAAGTGCTAGCCATTAAAAAGCATTTGCTGGGAAACTCTTAAAAAATGACATACTAGTAAATTAGTGAAATTATGTTAACACATAAATCCATTAAAGTCCATGGCTGCAAAAAAAAGTTATTTTTAACAGGCATCACTTCTCCAGGAGTAAAAAGAATGTTTTATTACTTTGGTATAAGTTTGTTGAGACTTGGAAGGGAGGGGCAGAAAATCAAATAGGAGTAAAAAGACAAAAAATGAATTACTATATTATTTATTAAATTTTATATATTTTATATTAAGGCTGTTTTTTATTGTTTTCAAATTGTACACTTATACCTAAAGAATACACAATAAATATATTAAAATGACACAAAAGTTATTTTTGGTGTTAAAGAACAATATGCAAAATATATAAACCTATTGTTTTAGTCATTAAAAAGTATATGTATTACTAATGCTTAGCTCTGAAATATACCAATGTATGTATATGCATTTATATATATACTCTTGATATACTCTATATACATACTATACATATATATACCCTGTATTTATATATACTATACTCCATATATATGTGTATATTTATTTGTTTTATTATTTTATATATAACATATAAAACATATCTGTGTTTTCTGTGAAGGTTATTGTCCTCATAATTAAATGTGATAGAAATTTCTTCCAAACGTTTAAGATAAATCCATGGGATTAGAAATAGGTTCATCTATCGATACTTTTTAAAATACCAGCATCAATTAGGCAAATGCATGGTCATGTAGACTTCTGATTTCCCACCCAGATGAAATATCAAATGTTGAGTGTGCCAACAAAAAAACTCTCATCCAAATCCAAGTTCTGAACTCTATGTAACAGGGATCTCACTGAGCTCTGGCTAGGTGAGTAAATAATAATAAAGCATGTTTTCCTAACTTGTAATTTAAATCATTTGAGTTAAATCAGATCCACCTAAGAAGGAGAAATCTGGTGCAAGACTAAGAAGCAGATTAATAAAAGCCCTCAGGAGCTTTTGTTGGAAAGAATTACATCAGACTAGAGAACTTCCTGATTAGATTAAGGACAGTTAGGCATCTGAAAACATCAGCACTTGATTTTAAACCCTGCCATCTTTCCCTACTCCCTTTAGGTTTTTAATACTCCCGATACCTGTGGCCAGAGGAAAGATGGGAGAATTCTTGTGGGGATGATTCTTTTCGCTTACCTTAGCCGTTGTATGTTTGAGGTGACTCCTGACAGCCGATAAATTCCATCCACAATGCCGTGAGTCTCTATAAATTCTGCACAGCTCTTCAGTACATATGGAACTATGTAAAGGAAAAGAAAAAGAAGTATTAGTATAAATCTGACTGCCCATTAAAGAAACTCTTTTTAAAAAAATCCAGGTAACTTCAAGAAGTGAGTATGGAACCATGTGAGTTACAAGTGGAAATAATTACTTGTAAGTAGTAGATAATGTTCTTTTGTAGGGTTTTGTTAAAGTTCAGAAAACTCATGTGTCTTGAGTTGTTTTTTTAAGAATGTGAAAAATATGAAAAAACTTAGATTTTGAAACCAGCAATGACCTTGAAAATCCCACAACTCAACCACCTCATTTCACTGGTTCTTCAAGTGTGGTCTCCTGACCAGCATCTCCTGGGAACTTGATGGGAATGCAAATTCCCAGGCTGGTCTCCAGACCCACTGAATCAGAAATTCTGGAGGTGGGGCCCAGCAGTCTGTTTGCAAAAGCCTTCTAGGTGACTGTTACCCACTAAAATTAGAGACCCACTGTCTATTTTATACATTAAGACCCAGGGCACAGGTAAATTTGTGTACCTTACTCAGGATTACTTGTTGCTTATGAAAAGTTATTAACACATGAGACAAGTCTTAATATATAGATAGGTAGAAGAAAAACAAAACACAAAGTCAAATCTACATTGTGAATTTAGCTATGTTAACAAAAAATTACAAAGGAAAATGACTAGAAGAAAATCTGCCAGAATGTTAAAGGTGATTTAAAGTTTAAAGTGCTAAAGAAGTGTTTTCTTTTTTTTAAGGTGAGAACCAACCCTCCCACCATCACCAAATGGGTCAGGCATTGATTGAAAGGATCACAAGTAAAAGACCGACATGGCCTCTCAAATTCCTGCCGTGAAGAGTCATGGAAGAGTCTGGCTACACTTTTCTTTCCAGGGCTGAGCCAGAACTGCTCAAACAGCTCAGTGACTAAGAAAAGGCAGCCACTGGTTTTCTGGATGGTAAGGAGAGAGCAGCAAGTCACTTGTCACTTTGGTCCCAGGACAGATCCACCAGAGGTCCTTGGGAGAGCGCTATGAGCAGTGACTTGCATGGAACTACTCAAGTCTCTAATGTTAAAGTCAGGCAGAGAAGTGATGTGGGAACTCCATGAATTAGTTCTTGGGTTAGCAGTGTGCTCATTCCCCCAAAACATACCCAATCCATGAATGACCCAGTAGACTAATGTCAACCCACTAATGTCAACCCATGATCATGTCAATGCACATGATCATGCCTACACCCAGTTCCAAGTTGGACTAGACTTTCCATGGTGACACTGGGTGTTCAGATTCTATGTTCTTCCTGGATTCTGTATGACAATACTGTCTAAACCTCCCACCCCCATTTCCTTCAGCTACTAACTACACATACATGGTCACTAAAATTCCTCATACTTAAATATTCCACTTGTCTGTCAAAGGTCTTCCACCCCCAGAGTATTCCCTTCTAAGACACATCCATGTTTTTTGCTCCTATCCTCTAGAATTGAGGAGAAGCTTAGCTGAGAAGAGGGCAGAGGGTGGACTTGGGATCGGAAATCTTGAGGACAGAACAGAGGTAGATCCACTTACTATATGAATAGAGTTTGGGAGTGAGTGTGATGGTAAGGGACTCTGAGTGTGAGCAGGGATCCTGAGTTTCTGCCTGGCTTCAACTAGAAGAGCTCTACTCTGCTCTGTTTTATGAAATAAGGTTCTTGGTGAGATGCTTGTCTCCCACTCCTATGAGACACTCTTTGTAGATGGTCTCATGCCTATAAACAAACAAAAAATAATTTTGCCTTATTTGTGTTTGTTTGTTTGTTTAATCCCTGTTTGCACAAGAATAGTTGACTCTTTCCCCATCTCACCCAAGCTATTGGTGGTTTATGGTTAACACAGAGTTGGACACCAAACTGCTTTGGTAAGTTTGGGAAAAATATGTAATATTTGTTTCTCGGTTTCCACATCTGTAAAACGTGGAGTCACTTGTCACTTTGATCCCTGGACAGATCCACATCCACCTGAGGTCCATAGGGGAGTGCTATGAGCAGTGATTTGCATGGAACTACTCAAGTCTCAAATGCTAATGTCTTCAGGCATAGAGGTTGTGTGGGAACTCGATGAACTAAGTCTAGCTATGAGGGCAACAGCTAGAATCAAAGTAATCACTATAAACATTTAGCACAGACCATAACATATAAGAAGCAATCCACAATGACAGTCATTATTTCTATTTGTCGTTTATCTATGTAAATTTATAATTTAGTGAGATGCAATCTTGGTGAAAATGGAGCTTGCCTCCTCCCATCCAATGAGCTCTTGGAGCAGAGATGACCAACCTCTTACCAGTCAGCATTCATCTCTACTTTGCATCCTTTTCTGTTTAAATGTTTCTACTTAAATGTGATTTGACTCAATGAGGTCTCTTCTATGTACTGAGTTGTGTCTTCATGACACAAAGGTAGTAGGATCCAACTGTGTATGGATTTTAAGGCCCAGAGCTGTTTGTCCTTGGGGTATTCCAAACTCTGAGTTTTTTCTAAGGTGTATGGCTGTTGTGGCCTGCAGGGCAAAGCAGACGTAAGAGTTCTGAGCATTCATAAGGAGGACACAAAGACAAAAGCCTCCATCCTAAAGTGCCTTTATAAAGAACCCCACAATAGGGGCAGTACAGGGTCATCAAACTGTCTTCTCTTGTTCTCAGACAGGGACCTCCCAATACCATAGCTTTCTGCTATGGCTCCTCAGGCTCTGTTTGTATTAAAGGTGGGGAAAACACATTCCCCGGATGGTACCCCATCATAAATTTACTCTGGCTTTGGTACAGAGGCCCTAGAACCTCTTGTCCACAGCTCTGTTTAAACAGGAGACAACATTAAAATAACCCAAGGGAAGAACATGGTCTTAATCCCTGAGGAGTGTTAGCTTTTTTGGATTCTTGTCTAGGGCCAAGTTGGAAGGTGCGGAAATTCTCCTTTATACTCAATAAATGGGAAAGGAGCCTCTTAGTCTCTGTAATTGTCCAGCTCCAGAAGCCATAGCAGTGGTTCTCTGACTGTGGTTTCCAGATCAAGTCTGGAAGCAGCCACATGCCTCCAGATAATTCTGAGGTGGCTAAAGATGAAGACCGTTGGGCTAGGACAGAGCTTCTCATACTTTCATGTGTGTACAAATCACTGGCATCTTGTTAATATGCAGATTTCAGTTTAAGAAAATAGGAAGAATGTCAGTAAACTTGGATTTGTAACAAATTCCCAGGTGATGAGGATTTTGCACATCTGCAGCCCACACATAGTGGTGCTGGTAGATAATATGGTAGACGCTACTAAGTTTACGCTCAATGTCTCAGAATTCTTTAGACTATTGTATCTGGGGTCCAACCAAACTGGGGACACCCTAAGATGTGGACAGTATAGAAGCTTGATACAAAATAGCTGATTAGTTACAGATGGAAAGAAAGCTTTCATTGTCAAGTTAGGCATGGGAAAGAGAAGTTGGAGGTTGGAGTCACAGAGCTAGTTCTGTGGGATTTATCCTGGACCCAAAGAACTCTCCCCTCCTACAGAGGTACATACAGTTGCTGATTATGATATAATTTCATGACATCTTTTAATTGTTTAACTGATGGTTCTCTAAGTCCCCCCCCCCTTTTTTTAACCTTATATCAGTGACCTTAAACATCAAATTTAGCCTGAGCACAAAATAAATCATTTTCTGGTTTTGTTTATATTTTTTTAACTTAAAAAAATTGAGATGCAATTCAAATAAAATTCATGCTTTTTAAGTGCACACTTAAGTAGCTTTTAGTATATTTACAGAATTAAGTAGGCCATCATATTTTAGAATATTTTCATTACCACAATTCCAGAATAGTTTCATATGTACAAGGTTATAAAATTGTAACGATTTTTATAACCATGCACAAGATTGCTCAACAATAAGAAGTTGCTTATTTAAATAATGAAACATTCACATAGTGGAATACTATATAGTCATTAAATATAATACATAAACTTCAATGAACTGATATGGAGTGCTTTCCAATATATATTGTTAAGCAAACATAACAAACTTCAGCCCAACATTATGGTATGCTAGCATGTGCTTTTAAAAAAGAAAGAAAAAAATAGATATGCAGTTTGTATGTGCACTAAATATCTATAGAAGTACACAAAGTGTTAATGTTAGCTACAGGAAATAGTAGGGAAGGGACTAGGGTCAAGGCTAAGAGTGTGAGAGAGAGTTCTCACTGTATATGCTTTTGTACTTTTAAATTCTGAACTATAAGACTGTATTACTTTTTCCAAAATATTTTCATAAAAAATTTAACTCAACAAATATTTATTGCAAATTTGCCCCTATCCAGCACTAGGTACCAGGTATTGCCTATTTCTATCTCATGTTCATCACTAAATTGTGAGCTCCTTATGGACAACGAGGACAGTACTATGTCTCAGTCATCTAGAATAGCCTTGAAGAAAAACACTTGAGGTGTTTTTGCTGAACAGGATATTAGTCATTTTTCACCAGGTGAATTTTCCATGCGCCATTGATACTGGATCCCTCAAGGAAGAAATCACTTATGTGTCAGTTAGTGCACTAGGTGCTATTTTTTAACATCTCTATTTTACAGTCATACCAAACTCATATAACAGATAAAATTATCTCCATTTTGAAAACTGATACTCAGAAATATTTCACTAAGTTGCCCAATGTCACACTGCTAGTGAATGTAGGAGTTGACTCCAAACCCAGATTTGTTTGACTCCAAACCTGTGCTTTTCTCACGATAACCACACATGAGGATGAATAGAAAACATCCCATGTCTACCTGCCTCGCACCCTCCCTATCAGGAGAGTGGGTCCTATGAGTTGGTGGCCAATTCTGGAGGCGCTATTTGAGAGAACCCCTCGGTCCCTTGCCCTTGAGAACTCTTAGGTCCCTTGCCTGTGACTCCCCCAATGCCTGCAATTCTACCACTGTAGTCCCTACGCTAAGGTGGTAATAGCTTTTAAGAATTCAATACCTGTGGTTGATATCT